TACATGGATCATTTAGAAAGCAATAAAAGATGAAACTGCACTTGAAACAAAAATTGGTTCTCTTCGAAACCTTTTTGACTCAGATCAGTAAGCCTGTAAGGGTGTTTAAAATTTGGTGCCCTAAAATCATTTGATTTGGGAGTTATCGGCCTAAAGCCTGCTACAGAGGTCATCTAGAAAGCTTAATGGAGAGAATGCAAAAATAAATAAATAAATAAATAATCATGAAAATCAGAAAAAGCAAGTGCGTGAAAAGAGCAATAGCATCAATACATTGGTTAAGCCCAACGCTTATTTGAGGGAATTTGACTTTTGATGAAAGATAATTAGCTAGTCGAGTTGTGGCGGTCGAAGCAATCAAATAATTAGAGAATCCCTGTTCATTGAAGTGTTGACTTACAACTAGTAACGTCCACCTAAACTCAAGAGGGTGAGGATAATAATGAAATATTCAACCTTAGATTACACATTGGAAAGGAGTGACAAAGAACAAGTTTGGTGGTTTGTGAATCTAACGGGTGATGAGAGGACATATATGACCATTAAAGGTCGGAAATTAGAACAACTTGTGAATTCATTAATGTCTACTTAATTCTTCATGCACACACGTCGATTTTGCATTGGAAGAGTGAATATTAGTTTGGTGTTGTAACTTTGAAGTATGTTTATGGAATTAACACTTAAATCTTGAATCCTGAGGTGAAAAGGCTAGATTGTCCAACCAAATATTTTTGCATAATTGTGTTTACTGTTGTTTAGTTTATAATTTTGTTTAAGGACAAATAAATGTTTAAGTTTGAGAGTATTTGATAATTGTATTTTATACACTTATTCGGTATCTTAAATAGTAATATTTGATGATTCTTTCGACAAATTATATCCTAAATGTTTGTATTTTATGTTTAATAGGTAAAATTTTATGAAGGAAAAAGATCTGAAGGAAAGAAGCAAAAGTAGGCAAAATTGGATAAAAGAGCTTAATTGTGTGAAATCCAAAGTTCGGGGACTAAAGTGTAAATATTCAAAAGTTGCGTCGACCTCAAGATGAAGATTCAAGAGCGTTGGGAGTCAATTGGATGAAGAAAGATGTCAAAGGGATCAAATTTAGGCAAAATATGATCCAACCGAAAAGCTATGTTCCGAAATTTTAGGCTCAAAATAAGACTCGTTTTTGACATAGAAAACGATCGAATCAGAGAATTATGTCTGAAGCAAAGTTGTAGCCCTTTGAGAGAGCTTTCCAACGCATCTTGAATTGCATCAATTGGATATCGGGAGAGAAAGTTATGCTAAAAATACTGAAAAATATGCGTGTTGTCTATTCGAAAAGTGGCGTCGTGGCGTCAGGAGATTCAGAGAGGTAGCGCCGAGCGGCGCTGCAGCGCCACCACCTATTTTTATGACGCGGCGCTGTGACGCCGTATCCCAGATGCGTTAGGGCCCAAATTCGGCCCCTTTTTGAGTCCATATGAAAACCCTATTCTTCCAACACGGCAAGGGACCTATAAATATGAGATTTCTCACACTTTAAAGGGATTCTAGACATATTCTAGAGGTGTTCTTACTTATTGAGAAAAAGGGGGGAGAGATTCAAAAGGGAGAAGACAACGCCGAATCCATCGTGAGAAGCATAAATTGGAAGAAGGAGGAATTCTTGGTGCAAGATCCACTTTTTCTTCTACACACTCTTATTCAAAATCCGATGATGTATTTTAAGACAATTTGTTGTTGTTTTTCTTTTATTATGCAAGATCCACTTTTTCTTAAAATTTTAAGACAAGTCGAAGTCGAGGTCTCAAAGGATCTTGCACCAATATCCGATTCTTTTATAGACAATTCTTAAAATTGTCTATAAAAGAATCTTAAAATGGTCTCAAAAAGGGGCCGAATATTGGTGCAAGATCCACTTTTTCTTCTACACACTTTTATTATGGGTAACTAAATCATTTGTTATGGTGAATAATGTAATCCATTTGAGATCCTTTATATCTTCTTATTAAGATTCTTGGTTTTAATTTTTCTATGTGTTGATTTTTGCTATGGATTGATTGCATTAAATTACTTGATCAATAATTTGATGAATTTTGTGAATCCTTTACGAATAGAGATGTGAGTTTAGGATTTAGACCATATAGTAAAATTCATTACATTGGTATAACGAGTAGAGATACATATGCCATTTATTGCAGTCATAATTGAATTCCTAGGACAAAAAATCGTTTAATAAGTTAAATTTGCATAGAGATGTGAAATTTTATTAGTTAAATAGGCTCAATGAGAACTCAAGAGGGGTAAATTGAATACAATATGAGAATTCAACAGAACGCTACATTAGAATTGAGTCTTAATTTGAGATGTAAAGGTGATCAATTGATGAAATTATTCTGCCCTAACGTCCTTTAATTATTTGATTTTACAAAAAAAAAATGCGTGATCATTCATTTATTTTCTAGAATTTAAATTAAAATTCAAATCATTCGAATCATACAACTTTTAATCTGTTTCCATCAAATAGTAGTTCAAGAAAAAATTGAATTAAGTGTTAGAAAATAGTCCTCGTGAGAACGATAATTCGGACTCAAAAGATCCACTTTAGTACTTATTACGATCCGTCCATTTGCGGGATAAAATCGACAACAGTATGCAAGCTCTCGTCAAAGCTCAGGCTATTGTCCATTCCCAAAGGGCTCGTCATTCGACCAATAACAACTACAAATTTCACTCAGAGAATCAAGCTAGAAACTTAAATGTAAGTATCAATCTATACTAATTTTGTGTCCGAAAAGACTGTAATAATCACCAAGCATGTTCCCTTATAACATAACAACAAAAACCCAAGTGGTACTAGTAGACTTCAATTTGCCGAAAAACTGTATAATCCATAGCGGAGCTTTCGAAGTACATCAATCGAGGCCAACTTGATGAGCTTGCGAAAGGATGAATGAGACCACAAGAAGGTTTGGAACCCTACCCACAGCCCTTGCTGAAAGAGAACTGAACCATATTATACCAAGCCTCCAAAAGAAAGAATCTTTCCCTTATCGCAGAGCTATTTTGGCATCTTTTTCTCGCTAATACTTCATACATTTGCAGGAAAGATTTGATGAAACTCAAAGCGAATTTCATAGCAAGAGACTCTCAGCTTCATATGATCCTTCACTCAATGCATATGACGATAGCCCGAAGATAGTAGAGACTCGTGCAAGTCGAAGTCGAGGTCTCAAAGGATCTACGCTTGCACATCAAAATATGGTGCTGATCATTATTACCAAGAAAATTTGTCTCCTCTTCCATGTCCAATCTCGGCTCGTCTATCCATCCCTAATTGTAGCCACCTTCAAGATTTCGACTATTTCTTTATCAGAGAGGACTCTAAGTTGGCTACTGCACAGAGCACTCCTTGTTTAGCGAGTTCTCGACCACACACCCCCGTTACGCCGGCTAAGAGTTTATGGCGGGATAGCTTCTTTAGGCCATACTCAAACTGTCCCAGTTATATGTCAAATACTCAATCTTTTAAGGCAGAGCTAAGGACTCACAGCGCTCCAAAACAAAGGCCAGAATCAGGGCTGAGAAGGAGGCTTTCATTGAATGAAATAATGGCATCAAGAACTAGTTTTAGTGGTGTTAGAATGCAGTAGCCACGTTAACAAGTTCAAGAAGATTTTGGCTTCAAAAAAGTTTAATTTACGGAGAAACCGGGTTGGCATTGTTGCACATACCACTCGGTTGCACGAAAATAGAAACGGGATATGTGAAACAACTCTCATTTTTAAGAAGTTTCAGCCTAGGATAATGTTACGCCGGCTAAGAGTTTATGTCGGGATAGCTTCTTTAGGCCATACTCAAACTGTCCCAGTTATATGTCAAATACTCAATCTTTTAAGGCAGAGCTAAGGACTCACAGTGCTCCAAAACAAAGGCCAGAATCAGGGCTGAGAAGGAGGCTTTCATTGAATGAAATAATGGCATCAAGAACTAGTTTTAGTGGTGTTAGAATGCAGTAGCCACGTTAACAAGTTCAAGAAGATTTTGGCTTCAAAAAAGTTTAATTTACGGAGAAACCGGGTTGGCATTGTTGCACATACCACTCGGTTGCACGAAAATAGAAACGGGATATGTGAAACAACTCTCATTTTTAAGAAGTTTCAGCCTAGGATAACGGCTTTATTATCCCATGTTCTCGAACTATCATAAAATAGAGCAGTGTTTGTATAAAATCCTCTATAAAGTTGAGTAAGCTTTTTAAAGATTTTAGTGTGCTAATTGAAAATTTATATTCACCATTCGAATGTGGAGATGTTATGGAAATACGATGAATTAAGCTCTTGTTTGATTCTCATTTTTTTTTAAATATATTTTTTGCTTTCTTCCTTTTAATCATACGTTGTTCAATAAAATAATATTACAGTAAATTCAAAATTTTTTCTTAATTTTTAACTACACATTTTTCATCAATTTACTATTTCAAAATGCATTTTTAATATTTTATGTCCCGTTTGTTTTTCATTCTTTGACAAAAAAAATGAAAAATATGACTGTTATCCATCACATCGAGCGACCATATTTGACTTCCTCTCTCTTGTGTGAATCCCGTAACGACTATATTTTTCATTCTCATTCTAATAAGAATGAAAATCAAACGGAGGCTTAATGAGGCTCAAATAGGTTCTAATATTATAAGACGGTGTTTGGGAGCCATTTTTATGTAAAAAGCATTTTGGAATAGTAAATTGATGAGAAATGTGTGGTTAAAAATAAAAAAAAAAGTTTTTGATTTACGTGTAATATTATTTTAATGAAGAATGTGTAGTTGAAAAGAAGATAGAGAAAAATGCATTTTGAAAAAAATGGGTATCAAACGAGGTCTAAAAAGCAATAACAAAAAACTCCAATAATTAATTATCTAAGATCAAACTTGAAGTGTACGCTTGACAAGGCTTCCACAGACACAGCCATTGCTATAAATCAAGAATCCAAAATCTGAAATGTTTAAAATCTACCCATGTGCCCAACGGTCATCTTTTATACCTTCGTTGCTGAGAGTATACTGTAAAACAATTCTTTCTCCCTCCCAAACCCATCAAGAAATATTTTCTAAAATAAAATATACCTATCCATCAAGAAATCATCCGTTATTATAAAACAAGAAATCAGAGGAACCCACATTTGAAAACCGGAAAGAAAAAGAATTCCATTGTATTCTTCAAAGAACCTGTAGTGAATTCAAGAAAAAGCACAAAATGGAGGGTTCTGATAATGGATTTTCATCATCAAACACTCCCAGATCTCCTCTGGTTCCAAAATCGTCACCTTCAGGTATGTCCCCTTCTCAATATTTAGTTTGTAAAATTTTGAATCCTGGGTCCAATGAATGTTTAAAGTTTACCGTTTTCAAATTTTCTGCAAGCGTGCAAAAAAATGGCAGTTTACTTCTTCTTTTTTTTCTTTTTTTCTTTTTTTTTTTCAACCAAGATTCTATATTTGATTAGGTTCAGGAGAAAACAATGAGAATGATACAAGTCAAGACCAAATGAATTCCAAGTTGCATAACCCCAAGAAACTAGTAGCAAAACATTTTATGTCACCCACTAAATCTGCATCTTCAAAGATCGCATTTTCAAAAAAGAAAATTCTGGCTGAGAGGAATGAAAATTCAAGCTTTTCGGATACCCAAATTCGGAAATCTCCGGATCTGGAAATGAAAAATAGCCCCTTAAATTCGAGTATTGGTCACTCTGGTCGATCTTCATCTTGGTTTATTCCATCTAATAATTGTGCTCCTGGGTCAAATGATAATGGCGTTGTGGCTGATTCATCTTTGAAGCCTTATGACCCTTACACAAATTACCTCTCCCCAAGGCCTAAGTACCTGCGGTATGATCCCAACAAACGGCGTATGATCTTTCACCGTAAACTAAGTGAGAGCAGAGAGGGAAAAGATGGTACAGAAATTCAGAAAGGTGTTGGGGATGGTATGGTAGAGGAGGAGGAGGTAGAAGAAGAAGAAGAAAGGGAGGAGTTTGAGGAAAAAGGATGGAGTTTGAGAGGAGTATTGAAATTTCTGCTGATATTGTTTGTCTGTTTTCTGTCAAAGACATATGTAAGTTCTATGAACTCTTCAGCACTATCACCAAATCTACAAACCGTTTCGGGTTTCAAAGATGAAGCTGCATATTTGGAAGTGTATGGAGATGGTTTCTTGGAAGTGGAGGAGAGAGAGAGTGGACTTGGGGTCCATAATATACTAATGGTCAAAGAGGATGATAATTTGGACATGGGGGATAAGAATACCAAACCTTATGAATCTGAGCATGATTCTGAAGTGGGTAAGAAAGGCGAGCTTGATAATATAAAAATGGGTGAAGTCTATAACATGGAAAAGGTCAAGAATAGTGAGGCAGAATTGGCTGAAGTCGATAATGTGGAAAGAGTTGAGACTAGTGAGGCTGCAATGGTTGAAAATGATGTGTTGCACATGGAGGATAGTAAAAAAGAGTCTGTTGAATATGACTCTGATAGTGAAGTAGTTAAGACTTGTGAAGTTTTCAAAGAGGTGCCACTCGCGGTAGTTGCCAAAAGCAAGGATATAGAAGGTGGTGAAGTCGAGTACATAGCAGATGCAAAAATTACTCCAAGTGATGATGCCGGTGGCAATGAATTGGTGAAAGAAGTTGAGGGTTCTGACCAGTTGAAGAAGCCTATGACATTCCAAGAGGAGCAGACACCACAGAATACGGAAGGGGTGAAGCAGCCTAATATGGAACTTATAGAATCACATGAACTGCCTGTCAACTTGGTCGATGAAGTTGATGAAGAATTTTATGACGACAGTGAAACAAAGAAAGTTGGATCTAATATCCTAGTTGTTACTGGAGTTTTTACTTTCTCCATAATGTTGGCATCTCTGTCTTTTTTCTGTCGTTCAAAGAAAGGTAAAACTACATCTATGCTAAATCCACTTACATCTATAGTAGAGGATGAAGTAGCACGAGGACCTCCTGTACTGGAAGTCGAAGAAGAGCTAATTGAGAAGACAATGACCCTGGAAGTTCCAGCTGAGGAGGAAGAGCACATTAGAAAGGAAATTATATATTCCATTAGGCCTTTATCCTTGTCTAGTTCAATAGCAGAAGCAACTAAAGAAATCGGCAGTTACATCCATGCACCAACCATTGAATTGCTAGGAGAATTTGTGATTAAAGAAGTAGGCAGCTCCCACGGGAAAATACCAGCAACTGAATATGAAGAGAGCAATGCTTCTCAAAAGGGGTTAAAATCTTGTCCAGATTATGTTCCATCTCAGCCATTCTCATACGTTTCTACTAAAGATTCGCAGGCATATGGAAGCTTTACTGATGAAAGGAAGATTTTAAAGAAAGAGGTAATATTGAATCACTCAAATTCAGTAGTATGTTTTTGTTCCTTTCCCGTTTGTCTTCGTTTGAGCACTTCCAGTATTTTCTGTCATTCCGAGATTACAACACTGCTAAAACACTTCCACCCTTATACAGGGAGGCAAAGATGGAGAATCCAAGATAGAATTAACTACTCCAGTTAGGCGGTCGAGTCGACTTCGCAACCGCTCAGTCGTGTCTCCATGAGTATTCATCACTCTTCCACTGGACTAAGTGAAAAGACCTGTTTACTTCTGTCAACTTTCTTTTATCTTCCTACAATCTGTGCAGGATATGATTACTAGATTAGATTGATGTTTCTTAATTCAGATAATTAGTCTAGATTTGTTTCTGAAAGTGGTAGTTATAATCCATCTTCCATTTTGCTATTCCTTTTTAACTAAGTTCTTGTCCTAATTTTAGAAGTTTTGATCTAGAGTCTGTTTGAGAATGATTTTGAGAATTGATTTTTTGACCGTTAGGAGAAAAGTGGGGTCCACCCGTGAGAGAAGAAGTCAAATATGACGGTTGGAATAGTGACATAACGATCAAAAAATCAATTTTTTGGGCCAAAAAATCACTCCCAAACAGGCTACTAATGTTCAAAATGAAACCAATATACAGTTACATATTTGTGTACTTTTGCCGCATTTGAACATCAAATATTTTTTAAAAGAAGAAGGTAACAACATCCGTTTACGAGTTCGACTCTCCAAATTGGACAACAACGAGCATCCGACCTCACAATGACATGAAAAATTCAATTCTGTTGACTACATCAATTTAGAAATGGTATTTTGACAAAAGAATCATTACTTATTTCGATCTTCTTCATCTAAAACCCTAAGTCTTAACCATTAGATTAGTTCTTGATATTGTTACAAACTATGTACTAAAAAATTACAATAAATAATAAAAATATATAATAGTTAATTACCTGTCAAAAGACAAAAATAGAAAATAGAAGGCACCCTTGAGGCCTACTAATTTTGGGCCCTTCCTCTCGGGGGATTCTCTTCCCCACAGCCTCTAATTAGAGTTGCGTTTTCCTCCACAAACAAAAATTTTGATTCTAACTTCCATTCTCCAAATAATTCCAACAGCAATTTCCCGGCAAAATCTCTTCCTGTTTTCTTGTACACAGAGAACAATCTGAATTTTTTTTTTTCCCTACGGTAAACATGTTTTCATTCAATCAATGCTGAGGATTTTCTTGATCAATCCTCAAAAAGGTTACCTTCTTAATGGAGAAATTTGCATCCCGACCCCAATTTATTGAAAATACGGCTTAATTTGTTGTTTCCTTGTTTAATCATTTTCTGTTCAGATGATGCAATGTAAGAATTGATATACTCGTGCAGCAAAAGAAACTTATCGAGATAACCAGTTTATGTATTTCTCTTCGTCAAGATTGTTCCTTGGGCTATTGAGATTTTGTTTGTTAAAAGAGGATAAGACTTACACGAATGGCTCGACGTGGTCACACGAGGACCCAATCATTTTCCTCTTCTCAAGCTCAGAATTTGACAGACGATCCCGTGACAGATAAAACTGCTCAGAGCACGGTATCATGTGTATACCAGACATATGTCGGAGGGTACTGGCGAAATGTCACAGTTTTATGGAGCAAGAACCTGATGAACAATTCGTTAAGCATATCGGTGGATAGCACGCAGAGTGATCATAACCAAACATGCAAGATTGATTTCAAACCTTGGCATTTTTGGGCGAAAAAGGGTTACAAGACTTTCGAGGTTGATGGAAATCAACTGGACGCCTATTGGGATCTTCGTTCAGCAAAATTTTCCGGCAGCCCGGAACCCTGTAAAGATTTCTACGTCGCAATAGTATCTGACGAAGAAGTGGTGTTATTAATAGGGGATTACAAGAAAAAGGCCTATAAGAGGACAAAATCCAGACCTGCCCTTGTTGATGCAGCTCTGTTTTCTAAAAAAGAACACGTTTTCGCCAAGAAATGTTTCTCCACAAGAGCAAAGTTTGATGACAGGCAAAAGGAGCACGAGATCGTTGTAGAGAGTTCCACATCAGGGAATAAGGATCCCGAAATGTGGATTAGCATAGACGGGATTGTATTGATCCACATTCGGAATTTGCAGTGGAAATTCAGAGGAAACCAGACCGTATTAGTTGACAAGCAACCAGTACAAGTCCTTTGGGATGTACATTCTTGGTTATTTTGTGCCCCGGGATCCGCTCACGGGATGTTCATCTTCAAGCCCGGCACAGCAGAAGCGGATAGTGATAAGGACGAAAACAGCCGATGTGATGATAGTGACTGCAGCGACAATAGCTGGTATTACTCGACACAAAGCTATGCCAAAGCCTCACAGTTCTGTCTTTTCCTTTACGCGTGGAAGATCGAGTAGAGAAAATATAGTCTATTACATGATTTTATACGGTTTAATGAAGAGAGTAAGCTTGATATTGTGGGAGTAATACAATCATGTTCTTCAAATTACTGCAGAAATATTTTTGCAGAATTCAGTATGAACACTAATTAAACAAGTTTATTCATAATTCGACTCCAAAGAAGAAGACCAGAAAACAAATTTTCGAACAGATTCAGCCCTTCATCTCACTTGGATTATTGGATTATTGGCCTTATCAATGTAGTCCATAGTATTAACTTGGGCTTTCTGAATCCATTTTCATGGTCCACCACAGTCTCGAGAAGAAATCTTTAGTTGCCATTTTCATATTCTAATCTTGCATACTTTCGGAACTTTATTCTTCTGCAAGGCCATTATACTTATCGAACTATGATTTAGCTTCAAAGAAATAGAGAAGAAAAGAATATTTAAAAAATTATAGAAGAGATCTTTTAGATGAAAAAACTTAATATTATCCAGAAAATTATAAAAAGCAGGTGTCACACGCATTTGATGAACTTGGGATTCTTTTGTAACAGAATTTTCTAAAAATAGTAAGCAATCCCCACGTACGTAGATCAAACCTCTTTTTGGATAACTATTATTTCGTTCAAAGATTCTTAAATGACAACATTAGCAAAGAGGACCTAAAATACCACACCCCCGTTTACAAATCTGGTTGGATCAAACTTACATTAGACAACATCGGATCGACCACAAGGCTTGAGATTAAGATATCAATACGTGAATTTAAGATAATGTTGAGGAGGTCATAACTTTCCGTCTCTTAATCTAACTAATCATAGGCATTATCGCCTTCTTCATAAAATATTTGGCCTACATTTTGATCGATTATATCATTGTTGAAGGCAAAAGAGTGGTCTTCTTGCATTATGGGTGCACGATGATTGTCATAATTAAAGGATATATATTCAATTAGGACTGCCTAATCACATAATAATTATATAAAATAATGTTGGTTTCATAATAATGAATCTTGAAAATCATGGGGATGAAATTAAATTAATCCTATAAGTTACATCATGATTTAATAATGGTTGATTGTGAATGCGGTGTTCAACTTATGGACCCATGATTTCCAACTTTCGGCTGGTCAAACAACGTTGAAAGGACACAAAATAATGCAAAACTCTGCGCAGTCAAAGAATAATGTTATTTGTACATAATAGAATCATATAGAAGAAGTGTTAAAAAAAGAATAAAAAAAATTATGACTCAATCATGTCTCACACGACATCATGTATATGCAGGGACGGATTAGGATTGGATCCCAAACCGTGCTACAAAATTTCAAATCGAACTACTACTTTGGGGGGAAAAAATTTAAACATAAAAGATTGATTTTTTACCAAAAAAAAAAATTAAAAAAAAACACCTTAAAAAATGTTATTGGGACTGAAGGGGACTATAGCCCAACCCAGCAACCCCCCCCCCCC